ATAAAAGTGGGCCGAGTGCACTACCCTGAATGACGCCACTCCTCACACGTGTGGGGTTAGAGATAGTATTGAAAATCTTAACTCGTTGTGTACGAGTGCCCAGGTAAGAGGATAGAAAAATCAACAGTTTGCCACCTTTTCCGAAAGAGGACAGTTTCAGGAGAAGAAGAGCATGCTCAACACGATCAAAAGCCTTAGTGAAATCGAAATATACTGTGTAACGTGCAAAGCTATTGCCCCTAGATTGGAGAACATAGTCAAATAAAGAGAGTTGATAGGTGTCACAACATCAAGCTTTGAGGAATCCATGCTGAGCAGCACTTAGTAAGTTATTCACTGTTAGGTGACACATCACCTTCTCTTTGATCAATGTCTCTAAGATCTTCGAAACTGCGGGGAGGGTGTTAATTGGCCGAAAGTCATCAAATGATGTAGATTTGCCGTGCTTAGGAATGGGCAAAATTTGTGATTCCTGCCACAAGTTAGGATAAGTTTCACTTCCAAGAGCGAGATTAACAATCTTGCATAAGACGGATGGGGAAATCGTATTTGGATCGGTTTTTAAAATGCTTACTGGGATACCATCAGGGTCTGGACAATAAGATTGACGAAAACGCCGAATCGCAACAGTCACATCCCACAGAGTGAAAGTTATAATTTCGAGAACTGCCCCGGTCAATGACTGGATGGTCGGAAGCGGAGTGATCGAGTCTTCAATAAACGTTTTGGACAGGAAATCATTGAAGCTATCAGCGGTTAACTGGGCATCAACTATGGGATTTCCGAGAGAGTCTCGGAGGATGGGATGCTGCGTCTTTCGGTGAGTTCTTATTTTTCTAGAGAAAAGTTTCGAGACATTTAACGAATGGTTTTCGGTAAACTGGACCTCTACAGATAGCTGTTTTGCTTCAGGCAATCCCTTAGCTCGATCAAAAATGTCACAAATCAAGGGCAGAACAGAAACATCGTTCTGAAGATGCAAACGACGATAAAGCCTGCGCAATCTACAACGAAAGTGTAAGGGTAGGAAAATCTCATCCCCGACATTAATGGTTTTCTTACGGGGTACAAAACGAGAAATAAGCGGATCCAAAATTTCGTACAGATTTGCACTGCAAACATTTACATCCGAACTAAGGAAGAAATCAGTCCAGTCGTAGGAATTAAGGCGTGTTAATAATTCGGTTGAGCGAGTTGATCGGAAATCGCGGAAAAAGTTATACATTGTGGAGGACGTTTTGTCAGCCTCGAATTCCAACGTTGAAACAACCATGTCATGGTCTGAGCCCCCGAGTGGTCCTAGGGATGACACTGACGATGGCAAGCAGCCTCTACAGAAAATTAAGTCAAGTATACTTGAGCCTCGGGCGGGAAAATCGACAACCTGATTCCACATCCCGACATCCACAGCCTCAAGAAAGTCATCGAACCTACTGGGGCCTTAAGGCGGAGACCAGCGGACTTATGGAAGATTAAAGTCACCCGCAACCAGTTGATACTTAAAGCTTAAGTCGGCCGCAGCATGAAATGCCTGTGAGAGTAAACGATCAAAATTGTCGTTGGCGTTGGGAGGGCGATAGACGTAGTCAACGAGTAAGGAGAACTTATTTTTTAGTGCAACCTGGAGCCAGCAGCTGCCTTCTACTGTGGAAAAATGCGGGAGATCCAACGGCAAAAATGTAAGTTTTTGCTTAACGTAGACGCAGCTGCCCCCACCACGGCTATCTTGGCGATCATTTCGGATGCAATTATAGCCTAGAAGAGAGAGTTCGAAGTCAGCTACTGAGGCTGATGCCCACGTCTCAGTTACTAAAACAATATCTGGACAATGGACGAACACCAGAGTCTGAAGCAAAGGCATCTTATTAAGCAAGGATCTGGCATTTAAAACAAAAAGTTTGAAGGGAAAGGCTGTTAGTTTCTGATGGAAGTGGGCTACATCGTCCAGTTTTGGGCCGCCAACGGAGCAAATGGTCCGGATGCAACCATCCGGTTCTGCAAAAAATTTTGTGGCATCAAAAAATTCTGACGTGGATAAAAAGGGGTAGGACTTGGGGGAGGAAATGACGGGCAGGTGA